TTAAGAATAAAAAAAAATGCTTCGCAACCTAGTAAGAACATTGTTTTATTATACAAATAGCTGAAAACACATTTCCTTATACCATTTCATTGTTAGTACCGAAAGCGAAAACATTTTTGTTCTACTTATCTGTCCTAAACCCTAATTGTATCTTTCATTGTAGGAAAAAGTATTTTAGTTGATCACATTATCTGGTTTCTTTAAGCCACCGAACTGTCTGAAATGTAGCATTTAAGTCTGTGGTTAGTTGTAGAGATTACATAAGATTACAGGACCAAGCAGACACTTCTTGTGCGAAGCAGAAAAAAATAAATAAATAACATCTTCTTTAGTGTAACGGTATCTAAGCTACTTCGTGTAACTTACTCAAAACATTGGAATCTATAATTGTAAATATAAGCTACAATGGCGGTTGTTTTTAAATTTTGAGTTTTTTCGAATATTTAATATGAATTTTTATTTATTTTTGGGCATCTTATTTCCCTTTATAGCTTCGGAGCACGAATGACAATTTTGTTTGTTTAATAGAAAAGTTCCAGCATAAACTAATGCAAAGTGCCCCCTGATGAAGTCTGTTTATTCATGTTTCTTTTATTTTCATTAATAAATCAATTGCCTTCAATACTAAGAAATTATGCACGAAACCAAAAAGTACAAATACCGATACAATTAATAAAGCTGAGATATTTCGATCAGTCATTACTGTTTGCTTATTATCAGTTATTATTATTTCTTTCATTATAATAGGTTTTCATTTATTATTTTTTGTTGTCCTTCATGGTTACTTAGCGATGTTAGATTAAGAAAATATGTTTTCCGAAGTTCATCCTATGAAAATAAAGATTAATCATATTTATCATTTTTCAAGATACTATTGCCCGCGGCTAACTACCGATAGCTAAAATTTACCACAAACTAGCAATTTTCTCCAGTATTTATTATTTCTGGGGAGCAGTGAAAACTATTAAAAAAGTATATATAATAAATACCTATATCAGTATGCGTGTCACCTGTTCAAAAAGCACTTTTTACCATAATTCCAATTTTATCCAGAACCAAAATTTATTAACCATGATGAGAATTACATGGCAATTTTTTAAGGTCCTCCGAAAGGAGCAAATAACTCTGCTTAACTAACCGCTTTTTTTCAGTACATATTTACTTTTTTTTATTTAAATTCAATTACTGTTGATTTCAGGCTGTTTAGCTCTACAAAAACATGTTTCGGAAGCTAACTATAAACAAAAGGTTTCAGATATCTTTAAAATATAAATTCGATGATCCTCACGTTTCATCCTTTTTGGATAAAATAGAGTTCCAAGCTAATAGAATTCAACAGCGTTATCTTTTAAATATTTGAGGAAAAAAACAAGCAAAAAACAGAATCATTTACAGTTTAATTTAAAATAATACCTATTGTTAAACCAATGAGAAAAAACTATTTTTCAAGCGTCTTTCTCGAATGAATTAACTTGAAATATTATAGAGCAATTTCTAGGATTGAACGTTATGCAGAAGTAAGATAAAACCTTGAAAAATGAAAACAATATTACTCTTTCAGTTAAATATAACTTCATTTTGCAAGATACAATATTTTTGTTTAAAAAAATTATGTTTTTCAAATCTATATAACTCTTTAAAACATTTCCCTTTAATTCAAAATGGGATACCTACAAGTGACGTAGTAGTTTGGGGATTTCCAGCCTGATTGGTTATTAAAACGTGACTTACGTAAGCTGCTGTTCTTTCTATTCTGTTTCGAGTTGACTTAACCCGTCAAGTATCAATTCTCTTAACACTTCAGGTACAAAATGATTTTTTTTAAATATCAACCAATTTTAATGAAAATTTCATAGATTGTGAATAAAGCATTTAGAAAGATATTCCCAAAATTTGAAGCAAAAATATTAATTTGTTGAAAAGTTATAATTTTTTTAATAATTTATCCGCAAGTTAAATTACTAAATGTTCCAATATTTCAAAATGTTTCCTGCGCATGAGTTTTTATCGTAGCTGTATGAAACTCATTTATATTACAGTTTGAATAAGTATAAATAAAATTGGATATGTTTGAACAACTTAGCACTTAATTTTAAACAAATAAAAAATCAAAATATCATAGTCTTTATATAATTTTTAAAAATTGAAATTTAAATAACAATTTAAAGTAATTTAAAAAATATTCAGTGAGTATTCAGCTTTTATTTATATCACATTGGTTACGGAACATTAGACCAATCATATATATGAGAAAAAAATAAAGATTTATTCAAAACTCATGCGCAAGGAACTTTTCGAAGTTTGAATATTATCGTAAAAAACAACATTGAGAAAAAACAGTTTAACTATAAAAACAGACAGTTTACATAACCTTGTTTACAAATCTTGAAATGCTTATAACTTTGCAAAAAATGACTGAAATTGAAAAATTTTTCTTTTAAATTGTAGCTAGATATAACTATTATTTTTTGAAACAAAAATTGAAAAAAGTATAATTTGNCTTTTTACAACAATTCCAATTTTATCCAGAACCAAAATTTGTTAACCATGATAAGAATTACATGGCAATTTTTTAAGGTCCTCCGAAAGGAGCAAATATCTCTGCTTAACTAACCGCTTTTTTTCAGTACATATTTACTTTTTTTTATATTTTAAATTCAATTACTGTTGATTTCAGGCTGTTTAGTTCTACAAAAACATGTATCGGAAGTTAAGTATAAACAAAAGGTTTCAGATATCTTTAAAATATAAATTCGATGATCCTCATGCTTCATCCTTTTTGGATAAAATAGTGTTGCAACCTAATAGAATTCAACAGTGTTATCTTTTAAATATTTTAGAAGAAAAACAAACAAAAAGCAGAATCATTTACAGTTTGGTTTAAAATAATACCTATTGTTAAACCAATAAGAAAAAACTATTTTTCAAGCGTCTTTCTCGAAAGAATTAACTTGAAATATTATAGAGCAATTTCTAGGATTGAACGTTATGCAGAAGTAGGATAAAACCGTGAAAAATGAAAACAATATTACTCTTTCAGTTAAATATAACTTCCTTTTGCAAGATACAATATTTTTGTTAAAAAAAATTATATTTTTCAAATCTATATAACTCTTTAAAACATTTCCTTTGAATTCAAAATGGGATACCTGCAAGCGATGTAGTCTGGGGATCTCGAGCCTGATTGGTTATTAAAACGTGGCTCACGTAAGCAGCTGCTCTTTCCATTCTGTTTCGAGTTGACTCAATCCGTCAAGTATCAATTCTCTTAAGTGACACATTCTATAATCCTTCAGAAAGATTCTTTCATAATGATTTCAATTCTTTCACCATATATTTCCTACTTAACACAAGGACAGGCACGAAGCCATGTAGAACATTAGCAAACTAATGATGCATCGTAGTTACCAGGTACACAAAACAAAAATATATCACGTGTTACAAATAATAAATCTAAGAAAGAATTATATTTCATCAAATCCAATGAGAAATTCGCATAATCTCCTAAATTTCCCCTTTTCTCCTAAATTAATGTTACTTTTAAACAATCTGTCAAAATCATGATAAAGGTAATTTTTTTTGGAATTGAAATACTTATTTCCTAATATAATCTAGAATCTTCAAAAAATTATCCTTCGAACAATCTATCAAAATTATAATAAATCATTATTCCATCCAAAAATCGAACAAGATCTCCTGATACAATCCATTTAAATGAGAATTTTCAGAGGATTACCTAATCTGACAAATCATAATAAAATAATTCTTTTTCAAGCCAAAAGTCTATAAACATCTCCACTATTCCTTTTTAAAAATTATTCTTTCAATAAAATTATGTGTGTAACTTCATTAAAATTTATTCAATAAAATCTGTTAAAATTATGAGAGTATCATTCTTTCAATTCAAAAATCTAGTATCCAATACAATCTAGATAATCCCCTAAAATTTTTTCTTTAAATAATCTGCCAAAATCATGGTAATTCTTTTTTCAATCCAAAATGTAATATCTTTTGAGTGCAATCTAGCTGATCCTCAAATAATTTCCATTAGAATAATGTGTAAAAACCATGGAAAAAGTATTTCTTTTTAAATCCAAAAATGTAACATCCCCTAATACAATCAGGATAGTCCCTTACAAATCTTCTTTTAATAATCTGCTGAAATCGTCAAATAAATTTTCACCCTCTCATTAAATTATTCCATCATTTAAAATAGCAATTTTTTTGAAAGACAAAAATAATATCTAATTTCCAATATAAAATTATTTGATAAATAAGTATAAATCATAATTATTAATACCAATAAATTAATAATTATAAATAAATCAAAATTATTATTAATAAATTATAAATTATAATTATTAATAATAAATTATAATTGTTATTATAATTAAATTATAATTGTTATTATAATTAAATTATAAATAATAAATTATCAATAAATTATAAATCATAATTATTATTAATAAATTATAAATCATAATTATTATTAATAAATTATAAATCATAATTATTATTAATAAATTATAAATTATAATTATTATCATCAATAAATATTATTAATAAATAATTACAATCCATTAAATAATTACAATCAATTAAATAATTATAAATTCTTATATAAAATTTCCTATTAAAGTTTAAGTAATTTTCTAATGAATTATTCCCTTGATTATTTATTATTGTCTTGAAGGAATTTTCTAACTCTAAATTAAGTCTCGTAGCAAAATAATTTAGATCAACATCGACTGATATATTTGCATACATTATTTAATAATTCATTCCCCTTCTGCTTATAAATTGTAAAATTTTCCTTTGAAGGCGGCTTCAAAATCTTTTTAAAGGACTTCACAGGATAGAATTAAACATCCACTGTTTGATTTCGAGCGCTTTAAACTAGCTTAAAACTTTGTTCGCGAAAAGTTCTGTTCGAAAAGAGCGTTGAAAGGGGGGAGAGCATTGCACGCATGCCCACTTTCCAGGAAGGGCTCGGGTTGAAGCGACACTCTTGCGTTTGACGGTCCGTCGTTCTTTGACCGCGAGCGCGTGGTACAGAGTGGACGATGTCGACATATCGCGATATGACGATTTGCGGCACGTCTCTTCTTTTTTTGTTGACCTCCATCGGCAATTTTGCGGACGCCACGACTGCTCTGGCCTCCGGCTCATCTTCTCACAGTAAGTAATATTTTTTGTAAAAATATTTTGCAGCCGAAATGTGTCCTTAACTCTTTAAAACAGAATTCTTTTTCCATTATTTTGTATTAATTTAGGTCAAAATAAGTAAAAAATGTATTTAGTAATTCATGGTTACAAATCATAGCATGAAAAAAGTCATAATTTCTTTCGACATTTTCGTTACAAATACTTGTACTTTTTTTCCCGAAAAAAGTAACGAAGAAACAAGTAAAATTACTAAATTTAAAAAGTAAAGTACAAGTAAAAGTACGTACTTTTTACTTTTACTTTCGTTATAAGTAAAACGCAAGTGAAAGTATTACCATGTATATTTGCGACCTATAAAAATATGGCTTTTTAATTATTTTGTATCAATTTAGGTCAAAATAAGTAAAAAATAATACATTTAGCATTTTCATAATTTATGGTTACTAACACTAGATTGCTTAAGCAAGTCATTTTGACTGCTTTTGACTTCAATTAGAAAAACAATGATGTATATAATGACAAAATTTCCTAGAATTTTGTACAACATGTAATTTTTTATTGCTAATATTTACTAATAACTTGTTATATAACTGTAAATAATATAAAAAATATTAAAAATTAATTTTAAACAAATTTCTTTGCACATTATTTATTCTTTCACAATCCAGCCATTTTGGCTGCTTTTGGGCAATATAGGTATACACTAAGTTTCAGTCTTTCTAGTGTTAAACATAGCATAAAACACAGATGTTTTTTTCTGCGTTAAAGGTAAAATCTTCCAAACACGGCTCACTACTAAACAATAATTTTTCGAATTTGCATTTGTAATTAATTAAATTTAAGGAAACAGTTATTCGCTATTGAAATTTCTTTAATTTACAAAATCAATTATTGATAAATTGTTGAATATGAATGGAAAAAAAATTCAAGTCCTTTATTTGGATTATTTGGTTGAAATATAATTCTGATAATCTAACAATAACTTTGATAATACTTTTTAATGACTATTAATTAGACTGTTTTTCATAATTAAAAAATACCAAAATATATTTTTGCTTGTAATTAGAGCATCAGAAAAAATATGTTTTTGAGTGAAACCGGTGCCCAAAGGGATAAAAGATGATCTGAAATACCACAAAAATCCCCATGAGTAATTTTTTATAAGATTATCAGGAATATTTTTTATGCTTCCTTTTTAGAAGATAATTTATGCATTCATTTTAATTTATGGGGCTATAAATTATTTATTTTTCTTACGTATGCATTTTGCAATATCGATAAAAATAAAATCTTAAGAGTAGGTATCTCAGAAATTATATATTTAAATTGATGCGGAATATCTTTTTAAATCTTATGAATAGCAAAGATTAATTTAGAAATATGTAACGATTTAAACAGGTTTCTATAAATGAATCCTACAAGATTTCTCAGAAAAAATATGTAACTATGAAGGAATGCAAAATTATTACGCTTGACTCAATTGTCAGCAAAACTGTGTGTATTTACTGACGTATAACAAGAAAATAAATCTATGAGAGGATGAGTTTTTTTGTTTTTTCTCCTTTTTTTCTTTTAACTTTAGCAGCCTTTAGAGAAATTGAAAATATCATTTTTGATTATTTATTTATTTATTCTAAAAAGTCTGCGTTACGATGCATTGAAACTATAACACATAGTTTGTTTTTTTTAATGATTATTTTAACAAAATATGCTTAGCTTTGAAATCTTTGTAGGAAACGTTTTCGTCAATTTCTTCAACAAAAGTAATAAAAATGGAGAAGCGAGCAGAAAAATTGAAAAAAAAAATTTTAAGAACAAAAACTTAACTTTAGTGGAAATTAACGCAAATATACTATTAATTTGAAAAACTATTATATTGTTAAAAATATTGATACCTGTAAGCAAATAAAAATCTTCTTTACTCATTAGGTAGACTTTAGATAGACATTATCTTATTAGGCTTTAGATAGACATCTCATTAGATAGGCTTTAAATAGACATTATCTCGTTAGATTTTAAATATACATTAACTCATTAGATAGAATTTAGATAGACATTATCTCATTATACTTCAGATAGACATTATCTCATTATACTTCAGATAGACATTATCTCATTATACTTTAGATAGACATTGTCTCATTAGGTATACTTTAGATAGACATTATCTCATTAGGCTTTAGATAGACATTATCTCATTAGGCTTTAGATAGACATTAACTCATTAGGCTTTGGATAGACATTATCTTATTAGATAGACATTAGAGATTTTGAAAATTTGAGAAATTTTAATGAACTGCTTCCCATTAAAGGGTATAGCTTAGTTTATCAGCAAGGGAATCCTTAGAAGGGTTTTGTAATTAAATAATAATTTTCTAAATATTTTTAAATAAATGTATAATATTTTTCGAAAATTCTGTTAATTTTAGGAGTTGACAGCTCTCACCAACTCTCTCACCCGTTTGCGCACTGCGCAAGTCGCACACAACTAGGTGAACTAACACTTAAAAACAGTTCAAACAGTAAGAACATACCATAGCTGACTGTATTCGTGGAATTTTAAAAAATTCTTCAAGTATTCTTAGAAAAGCATAAATAAATTAAAAAAAATCACTTTTTTAACGAAAAAAAGTTAAATTAACAGTTTCTCAATATTTGAAACCAATTTCCTCAATTTTATAGAAACTAGATCATTTTTCCAGTAAACTTTTCACTGCGATTTTTTTTGTGGAGTTCAAAGAAAAGATGATTAAAGTATCTTTCCAAATTAATGTGCTCCAAAAATTTAAAGTTGCATTTTTTTCTGCATTATTGTTAAACATAAACATTTCTAAAAAATCTCTGTTTCAGTCTTTTCTGTGGCATATATAGAAAATGAGGCTGCATACTTTAAAGAATTAAGTAATTTCTTTTTCTTATTTATCATCGAACTTTCTTACCATTTTTTTAATCATTTTTACCCTTGACAATCAACTTACACAATATTACCACAATAGCTATGATTATTAGCTTTTCGAGTGAACTTCGACCTTTGTGATGATTAAATATAATTTTTTAAATGAGATTTTATTTATATTAGAGTTCAAAATAAGGAGAGTTTAAGTCCTAGTTTAGCAATGAGCTTATCAATTTAATTTATTATTTTTGTTTCTAACAATGCTTTATAACTCAAATTTCTTTTTTATTTCTTCTTATTTTTCTAAGTGTGACAAAAGTTTACCACTTTCCAACAAAATGGGTTCAGTGCCCCAATGCGTAAAAAATCTTAACTATTATTTCCACAATAATATCATTTTCTTTTATTATTTTTAATTGAATTTACAAACTTCTTTTAAATCATTTTATTATTTGATTTATTTTATTTTCATGAAATGCTTAGATTTTTTTTTCGGTTAGAATGCCGAATATTAATTACAAAAGCCCCTACAGTAAGTGCTAATGACAAAAGCCCCTACAGTAAGTGTTGATGACAAAAGCCTTTTGTCTTAGCCCTTACAGAAAATTACGAATTGTTTAAATATTTTAAACTACATCTATTTTTTTTCTTGTTGAATTTCTTTATATGTTGAATAAACTATGCATTTATATGGTTCACATACACCATTAATACTCATAAATTATTGAATCAATAAGAGTAAGTTGATAAATAAACGCTTTTCCATAAATTATCAATGTAAATTTTTATCAATGCAGTTATCGTTTTAGAATTTATATTAAAAGAGAATGAAATAAACAGTAATAAGTAAAAAATATTACAGAAACATTATTTGCGAATTAAGAACAAAAATATAAGATGAATAACAAAAGATGAAAGACTTGGAATTGAGTAGAAAATTTTATGCTTGATGAATAACAAATGAACAACATGAAAAAAAATGTAAGTCAAAACATAAATGTACGACGCAATCTTATTTTAATTTAATAATTTTAATTGAAAGGAAGCAAAAAGAAAAAAAAACTTGAGAACAAATGAATACATATCGTAGAAATAATAGAACGTAGATTGATGGAATGTAAACAGAAATAAACAAAAAGTATGACTGAGACACTAAATCATAAATAGTAGAGTGTCAATTCTTCAAATCTCTGCGTGAACTAATCGTTTCTTTTTAGTGAAACCAGAGGGCTCTACTGTATGAAGGACAAAAAGAATTTAAAAAAAAACATTATGACGTTATAGCTGATCGTCCTTATATAAAATTATTAAAGATGATCCGCTGCAACGCTATTAAGCATCGTTAATATTTATAATCGTAATAATTATTATGATAATTAATTATTAAAGTAAATAATCATAGTGTTATGATAGTGATTATTATGATTCTGGTTCATCGAAACAACTTTATGAACACATATCTGTAGACAGTTAGTGTTTAAAATATCATTCGACATAGAGTTTACTGGCTATATATGCATGCTTGTTTAAGTAATGGTCCAACTCATGGAGGGAGTAAGGGCTACTTCCATTTTCATTCAAGTCATTTTTATCATGATTTAAAACAATCACACCTCCGGTTTATTTCTGTTTGCACACAGAACACTAAAGATCAGACTATAATTGAAAAACACCATATTTCTTCGCCAAATGGACAAATATAGAGTTGAACCATTATTTAAGTAAGGCTCACATGTTGGGAACAATTCGAAAAGATGTCTCAAATTTAATAATTGTATAGTTTTTCTATTGTTGTAAAGTTCAATTTACATTTAAAACAGCTGGATCTTGAGGTCACAGAATTAAAAAATAGCTATGCTGCAACTAAACTAGCACGTTGTTTAGTACTCTAAGTACCATATGAGATAGTGATGGAAAATATGCCTAAACGAAAATAATTGAGGATTTCGAGGAAAAATCCCAAAGTTGATTTGGATGCATTTATATGAAGATGAAACCCTTTCAGAAAAATTAACAGTCAAAGTTAATCTTTAAATAAATAAAAAAGAATGATTTTTTTTTGTTGATAAATATGTTTTTTAACATTGCGTAGTCTTGCGATGTATAATAACTATAA